TATATATATATATGTGTGTATATGTGTATATGTGTATGTGTATATGTATATATATATATATATATGTGTATATGTGTATATATGTGTGTGTGTGTATATATATATATATGTATGTATATATATATGTGTGTATATATATGTGTGTATATGTGTGTATATATATATATATATATATATGTGTGTATGTATGTATATATGTGTGTATATATATGTGTGTATATATGTGTGTATATGTATATGTATATATGTGTATACATATATATATGTATATATGTGTATATATATGTGTATATGTATATATATGTTTATGTATATGTATATGTATATATATGTTTATGTATATGTATATGTATATATATGTTTATGTGTATATGTACAGTGGGGAAAAAAAGTATTTAGTCAGCCACCAATTGTGCAAGTTCTCCCACTTAAAAAGATGAGAGAGGCCTGTAATTTTCATCATAGGTATACCTCAACTATGAGAGACAAAATGAGAAAAAAAATCCAGAAAATCACATTGTAGGATTTTTAAAGAATTTATTTGCAAATTATGGTGGAAAATAAGTATTTGGTCAATAACAAAATTTCATCTCAATACTTTGTTATATACCCTTTGTTGGCAATGACAGAGGTCAAACGTTTTCTGTAAGTCTTCACAAGGTTTTCACACACTGTTGCTGGTATTTTGGCCCATTCCTCCATGAAGATCTCCTCTAGAGCAGTAATGTTTTGGGGCTGTCGCTGGGCAACACGGATTTTCAACTCCATCCAAAGATTTTCTATGGGGTTGAGATCTGGAGACTGGCTAGGCCACTCCAGGACCTTGAAATGCTTCTTACGAAGCCACTCCTTCGTTGCCCGGGCGGTGTGTTTGGGATCATTGTCATGCTGAAAGACCCAGCCACGTTTCATCTTCAATGCCCTTGCTGATGGAAGGAGGTTTTCACTCAAAATCTCACGATACATGGCCCCATTCATGCTTTCGTTTACACGGATCAGTCGTCCTGGTCCCTTTGCAGAAAAACAGCCCCAAAGCATGATATTTCCACCCCCATGCTTCACAGTAGGTATGGTGTTCTTTGGATGCAACTCAGCATTCTTTCTCCTCCAAACACGACAAGTTGAGTTTTTACCAAAAAGTTCTATTTTGGTTTCATCTGACCATATGACATTCTCCCAATCCTCTTCTGGATCATCCAAATGCTCTCTAGCAAACTTCAGACAGGCCTGGACATGTACTGGCTTAAGCAGGGGGACACATCTGGCACTGCAGGATTTGAGTCCCTGGCAGCGCAGTGTGTTACTGATGGTAGCCTTTGTTACTTTGGTCCCAGCTCTCTGCAGGTCATTCACTAGGTCCCCCCGTGTGGTTCTGGGATTTTTGCTCACAGTTCTTGTGATCATTTTGACCCCACAGGGTGAGATCTTGCGTGGAGCCCCAGATCAAGGGAGATTATCAGTGGTCTTGTATGTCTTCCATTTTCTAATAAGTGCTCCCACAGTTGATTTCTTCACACCAAGCTGCTTACCTATTGCAGATTCAGTCTTCCCAGCCTGGTGCAAGTCTACAATTTTGTTTCTGGTGTCCTTTGACAGCTCTTTGGTCTTGGCCATGGTGGAGTTTGGAGTGTGACTGTTTGAGGTTGTGGACAGATGACTTTTATACTGATAACGAGTTCAAACAGATGCCATTAATACAGGTAACCAGTGGAGGACAGAGGAGCCTCTTAAAGAAGAAGTTACAGGTCTGTGAGAGCCAGAAAGCTTGCTTGTTTGTAGATATAATATAATAGATATAAATAATACTTATTTTACCGAGGAATTTACCAATAAAATATATATATATATGTATATAAACAATACTGAAATAACATGCTTAAGATTTTTGTTTTAGTGTAAATGTATTTTATTCACTGATTAGATTGAAATCCCTTTTTAAAAAGTACTGTTACCATGATTTGTTGTTGGTATCAGATGATACTTTGGAGCATGCTACATTACATTTGTTCAAAGAATACCAAGGTAGTACCATGGTTTTATCGTAGTACTGTTTCTACCTGTCATTTTCCCCTCCGTTTTCCCCATACAGTTACAAACTGCCGCAGTTCTGTGATAGGCTTGTGTTGTTCAGCTCTGGGGCCTAAACTCCTGCTAGTCTGGGCTGCTGTTGTAATCTGGCTTTCCCTTTCCACTCACTCTCACATAAAACAATATTAGCCTTTCGTCCCCTGCAGACTTCGGACACAATAACCACTTTCGTTTGGAGGAAAACACACCCAAACACTCTTGACACCTCTGGGCCGTCCAGTGCACCATGGGTATATGGCTGGCTACAGGTCAGGGCAAAAGGAAAGTTTGTTTCTTTTCATCCTTCCTCCGATCCCTTTTTTCTTCTTGCAACCTGGAGACAAAATGAGGGCTTAACCTGTAATGTTCTGTACAGGTCCCCTGGTGACAGTTGAGCTTTTAGTGGGGGGAAATTACAGCGCTGCAAGGCTTTGCTACGCTCTGTGGACTGAGACCAAGTCTACTGCGGTTCGTCTGTATTACATGGACGTACAGAGAGACATGAGAGGGGAGTACGCTTATAAAAGCCTGTCGGTCCAGCCAATTTTACAAGAAATCTCTGTGTTAATGCACAAGGAATATGTTCCATATTATGTCACGTTTTTGTTTGAATGATCATTTCGCATTCATACATGTACAAGATCTTACAATAGTATAGTTATTCCGTGTAAAACGCAAGGGATAGGTTCTAACCCATCATTACAAGCCTTGACACTTGTAAATGGATGCTCCTTTACTTCACAAAGATGTATACTTGGTGGGAAACCTTGCCTGTAACCAGCCAAATCATGCGCTTTGCCCCTGATATAAAGCAGGCTAATTTGTCCTCACCCCTTGGCTCCAGTTCTGAAGAGCTACACAGCCAATGGACGTCCGTCTGCTTGGCTCTCATTAATTTTTTCATGGCCTGTGATGGATAGTTTGTGTTTATTCTCTGCTGGAGTCCTGCATGCTGAAAATGAGTCATTTTAAAGCATTACATATTCATACACTGGGCTAACGTAATGCAGAGAAGGGAACTAATTGTTCATAGAAAGGTGGTTGTGATTGACATCGGTCGATTCACACAAATCTCTCTGGAGATGAATGTTGGAAAACAGCTGCCAAGTCTTGCACTCGGTGCTAATGTTCAACATGAGGGTGTGTAAATGATGACAGAAAATTCATTTTTGGGTGAACTGTCCCTTGGAGACATGACATTTGACAGGATTTGACTTTTTTTGGTGGGTGAATATGGTGAGCAGTCAATGGTCACTGAATGTTATGGTGCATTCTGGGAATCATACGTTTAAATGCACTTGAATTGAGCCATGGCCATCTCCTTCATGTATTAAAAGTTTATAATTAAGTGACCGCAAAAAAGTGAACTGTGTTGGGTAAAAAAAGTCAGTTGCATACTTTCCAGACATTTGAAGTCAAATAAGTTATGTTAGCATGACACGGGCATGCCACGAGGGCAGCGGGGCTAGCCGAAATAACCTGGGAAACAGTGTTTTAAATCATTAAATTGTCTTTTAGTAGCTGCCATATTCAAGGCCCTGTCCAGATGCTGTTTTAAGATTGCTCTCTCTTAGTGTAGACAGACCTTTAAGAGGCTGAGGAGAAGCCGTAAAGTGGATAGATTACCCTCGCAGCCTCTGTCTCTCTTTATTGGCTGCGGTAATTGACATATCCTTGTCATTTAGAATCATCCGCGCGTCGCTCGAAAGTTAATTGCTTCCCCCTCCGCATTTGCATGAGGCTCACCTCTGAAGGGCATAGCTGCCCATTAATATTGTGTCATGATGAATTATCACAAATAAAGCCCAACATATTGATTAATGATGGCTGCCGGCCGCTCCCCCTCTTCCCCCGTCTGAGGGGGAAAAAAAACATTGAGGAAAGATTGGGCCAACTCTTCTGAGGAAGAGAGTGCAGTGATGAGGTTTGATTGATAGAGAAAGATGTTGGGGTTTGGAGTCAGGAGCTTATGGGATACTGGAGGCCATGGGATATGATGGATATCAACATAGATTGCACCATCCTATCAATCATCTCTTATAGATGTATTTTATGTGTTAATATCTACATTCCTTATTAATTAACAAACTGCTATCTTCACATCCTCTTCTCAAGCTAGATTCAGCCAGAATCTAGTTGAGGACCAACAATATGGAAGCCTGTACAAGTTGATCCATGCATGAATCAAAGTGCTGTTCAGAAGCTCAGGTAATCATAAATTGTTCTTTCTACTGGCGATGAATAGCCACTGTCACCGAACAACAGCTTCCCCTTACGTCAGTGCCACCCTGTTCCATTAGTTTCCACCCTGCAGCCGTGCCCTTCAACTGGAGCAGCTCTAAAAGAAGAGGGGTGCCATAAGAATGGACTTCTGGCATCATGTGATAAGGTGCAGCTCTAAATCGCAGATTGCGCCTCACCTTAGGAGACTGCTGTGTTTCTGGTGCACAGTGTTGTCCTCTGAGGTCCAGGAAGAGCGTGGGTAGGGTACCACCCATGGCCCTCAAATCTCCACCAGCTTGGGATGCTTGACTCACTAAGGAAGCTACTGCACCTTGTGCCCTGAACCAGAAGGGGAGCATGTGTGACCACCATACTTTGCCATTTGTAAAGGTCCTCTCAGTTCTGCACACCCTCCATTCATCGGATTGACACTTAATTTTCCCCCAATTTTCATGCTGTCACATTTACGGTCTTTGCTCACCCCACTACAGCACAGGAGTGTTGATGAAACCTGTCAGAAAAGAATTTGATTGTTAATTAAATGATTTTGACCATCCCGAGAAAACCTTTGCGAAAAATGTTTTACTGACAGTGAATCAGGAGATATACTATAATTCTGATTGTTCTTGCAGTGCATACTTTGATCATATATTTTAATTGTAATATAGAAATGACTGTTATTTTTATGGTTTGGGTCACTTTCAGACTTTGTCAGTCTGCTCTGAGAGGCAGTGTTGCTTGCTGTTCTTTTTCAGAGAGAATGAGTGTGACAACAAGGGGTTGTGTGCCTTGTTTCTGCATGCTTGTGTGTCTATGAGTGTGTGTGGATGCCATGCCCATGATGAATGCAGCTCATTATTCCGTTATAGCCTGCCGGACTTCAGCAGAAGTGGAGAAATGCAGACCTGTCCTCACAGTATGTTGAGAGACGTGGAGTTCCTCTCATTAATGGTGTCCCACAAGGATCATAAAGCAACAGCTCAAAATGCAAAAAAGAGTCTTGGGAGGAGGAGTATATTCTAATGAAGGAAACATCTCCAAAGTCGTTTCGGATATTGGTATGGGCCAGGTGGAGGAGAGGGCCAGGGGAATAGGCAACTCCCTCTCATTTACAAAACTAAAATATTCCAGGTTACGAGCATAGGCCTCTCAAGTTCATTAAGCATGTAAAAGAGCATCTAATTTTGCAGGAAAACAAAGCCAGCAGTTTTTACAGAATTTGTAAGTGATGATTATAAAGTCTAACTCTGTGAGAGAAGAAGTCTCGGCAGTGGACAGGCATCAGTTATACAACCTGATTACACCACAAGGGGAACAAAGAGACCCTATCCCAAATGGGGCACTTGATGTCAGGCTGTAGGGTTGTCCCACTTTGACATTTTATGGTTCAAAAGAGTTATTACAGGTGCATCCTCAATGTTTGTTTGTGGGAAGCCTGGACTGGTGCTTGCTTCATGGTGGTCTACTACCAAACAGTCCATGCAACTTGTCATCTTGATGAGTCATAGCCAACCTGGTCTCATAAAAATACGTACCTCTGGGTACTTTTCTGCAACACTTTTTTTACGTACCTTACTGCACGTTTCGCCGCATTTTTAAAGAGAAATGTCCACTGAGTGGCGCTAAAACACGGGTTCAATACGTGAACCCTGTTACGTTTTTATTATGTTGATATAGGCACGTATTGCTTCAGGTATGTATTGCGGCGGTTCAGAATTCCAATATCCGGGTACTGTCGCTAAAAGCTAATGCTCTATCGTGTTGGAAATATGCCCCCTACACAAACGCAACCCTAAACCTACCCGATAGTGTTAACAAATGCAAAAATGATAAAAACGCATTTGTTGATGCAACCATGCCAGTTGAACTTCCTAATATGCAGATTTGAACTGTTTTGTCGAACCGTAGTTACACGGGATTCGAACCGGAGCTCCTCGCCTCACTGAGTGGCGCTAAAACACGGGTTCAATACGTGAACCCTGTTACGTTTTTATTATGTTGATATAGGCACGTATTGCTTCAGGTATGTATTGCGGCGGTTCAGAATTCAAATATCCGGGTACTGTCGCTAAAAGCTAATGCTCTATCGTGTTGGAAATATGCCCCCTACACAAACGCAACCCTAAACCTACCCGATAGTGTTAACAAATGCAAAAATGATAAAAACGCATTTGTTGATGCAACCATGCCAGTTGAACTTCCTAATATGCAGATTTGAACTGTTTTGTCGAACCGTAGTTACACGGGATTCGAACCGGAGCTCCTCGCCTCTTAAGTACATCTCCGTGAGCTACCGAACAAAACCTACCGTCTGTGAAAACCCATAGATATGAAGCTGGATATGTGTGATGCTAACATTGAAAAGCATCAGTTTTCAAATCTTCCTGCGTATTAAAATTGTTTTGAAGTCATAACATAATATTCTTCAAGTAACTGTGCAAAAATGATGCTTTATTAATCGAAACTCTGGTCATTTGTGAGAAAAGGAATAAAAGGTGTTGGAGTTTTACTGCCTCTAGTGTTCATTTCTTTTGGAAACTGCAGTGATATGTACTTATTAGTGGACTTTCTTTGTGTGTGTTTGCAAGTCCACAGTACTGTATGGCAGGGTTCCTGATTTCCAGCCCTACAGGAGCACTGCCCTGCAGAGTTTAGTTCCCTCCCTAATCAAAAACACTTAAGCAAGCTAATTAAGGTCTAGAGTTACTAGAAAATTACAGGTAGTTAAGTTTGATCAGGGTTTGAGCTGAAGTCTGCGGGGCAGTGGCCCACAAGTGCTGGATTTGTGGAACCGTGCTATAGGGTGTCCTGTTTGCCAAAGTTTTTTAAAAGGGTGCTCATAAGTGCCCTTTTGTGAAGCCTGAAGTGGTGTACGGTGGACTACTACCCAGCTTGCTATTGCGCTACTGGACACTTGTCTATTTGGGTACTCCATCACTCATAGGTCTGCACTGGTTTTATCCCCTGTCCATGGTGCTGAACTCTATATAGCTAGAGACTGTGAGAGTGATGCACTTTGGGAACCAAACTCACCTGCAGATTTTTTTTTGTTCTACAATGGAGTTTTTTTCAAATCTATACACCTTATATCACTGTGTCTTGCCTCCCTATATCTTCCTCCCGGCTGATCCCTCCATCCCTGCGCAGTCTCGGTTGGGAGAGGGCCCTAACCACCTCTTCATTCATCACTCAGCGTTTGAACCCTCTGCTTTTTGGGCAGAAAAAAGAGGTGCAGCACTTTTTTCCCTGTTCCTCCGTACTCCCGGTGCTCTTAACTGGTAGTCCGCGCTGGATGCAGCCAGCGGAATTAATTGCACCCCGTTACTGGAGATCAGCAAGTTTGTGCGATACGCATGCTGTTCAGCCATATGGCTGCCCACTAGGTGAAGAGTTTGATTAATGTTTCAGAGCCCTCCTTTTTTTGCAAGATTTTTTCCCTTCTTCCTACTAATATCTGATCCCTAACCATCACAAAGCCGCAGCTCTGTTTTCCAGCTCTTTTTGTTTATTCCTCTTTGACTCCCATTTGGCTTACGCATCGCACCTGCCACCTTATGTAATGAATAGCACAACTTTTTCATATTGCAGTCCCATGCCTTTTTTGCTTTTCTGTATGTTTTTATCTTTATGTAGAGTATTCTTTGAAGGTCTTTTATACAACTTTGTGCTCTCAAAGGAAAAAAAAGAAAGAAAGAAATGTTCACAATGGAACGCATACATTTCTTCATTTTTACACAGCTTAATGTGGTAATTTTATAGACTGAATCTGATCTTCATTTTTCCCATATTCCCTCGATTGTACATCTTTTAAAAGTCTCTTTGTTTTGTGTTTTTGTTGTTACTATTCAAAACCTTGTTTCTGATCACCACACTCTGTTTTTCACTCCCTAGAAACCTAAATTGTGTGCTTTTCTTTGACAAAACAACATTTGAGGGCATAAGCTAACAAGAATAATGCTGGAGATGCTTGTCCCAATGCCAACTTTTTGGACAAATATAAAAATATAGGATTGGGGATTTCGCCTTGGTTTTAATCACACGAGTATTCTCTGTCTCGTTTTCTCATTCTTCTCCTGTCTCTCTATCTAGGCCTCTCTCATTAAGTGTGGCTGAATGTGGCCCAGTAGGGCCTTTGCGAGAATGGGAGTTTGGGACGGCCTGCCCTCATGTGGCCCACAATCTCCTGAAGCCTCTTTCCCGGCACAGTAAATCTACCTGATTGTGTTGTGTACCCCAGCTCTGATGGGTGCGTTTCCAAGGTGGTGAAGTCTCCAAAGAGCCACTCTGAATTGCAAATGGTAGCCATAACTCAGGTGTAATGTAGATCTTAGCATGGATGGCCAGTCATTTCTCTCCATTTGGACCAGATGGGACATTCGCCCAATATCAAAGAGAGAGAGGAGGGTTTTATTGTGTCTGAACATTGTCGGCTATGTTTCTTTACTTCAGAGAACGTGGAAGACAATATGGAGAATGAAAGCAACAAAGAAGGATAGAAAGAGAGTCGATGAGTTCACAATGAAGGCGACAAAGGAAAAGCCACAAGAGTATCAAACTTTGCTGAACAACTTGAACATGTCCTTGACACGATGACATTAGGATATTCACTTAAGAAAAAGAAGAATTAACGTTAATTTTTCGGGAATCAGACTTGAATCATTCACTAATGAAATGAACAAAGGAGGAAAGAATGGGGGTGGCTGTTCCATGTGCATTGAATAGTTTGCAGATGCAAATTTAAATCCCTCCTATTATTTTAATAATGTGCATTTTACTGCATTGCATGGATCATTTATTTGCAAACCAAGTTGTTTTTTTAGAAGGGGGCTCAAGGGTAATTTCATGCTTTGAAGCATTTATACCTATAACTTAATGAGGAAATTGTGTGTTGTGTTGTTTCCTGCAGTACGCCATGAGAAATCGGTTGTTCTGCTCATCAAAGAAAGGTGTTTATTTTCCAATTGCTAGTCTTCATATTTCCCGTTGTATAGTTTGATTGCATTCATTCGATAGGTTATTCGTTTTTTTTTTTTTTTAAATCAGACATTTGTGGCGATCGTTCTCGTTTTCCTACAAGACCAGTCCCGGCCTTGGAGTCCGACCGGTCCGGCCAGTCAAACTTGATTTGCTTTATTATTACTCTGCTTGTCCTGAAATAGCAGGCAAGTGTTGATGAACTTCGGAGGGTAGTCTGTCTTCCCCGTGAGACACTGCAGATCATACGTAATGAGGTTACAGGTACGGCAGAGATGCGTGAGGGAAGATGTCCGATGTCCCTGCATCTCTCGTCGGCTCCTCCTGAAGAGCTCCTCTCCCGCCAAATCAAATTAGGCTGCATGGATTAAAGCAATAACACAATTTGTTTACAATGCATTGTTTATTTCCTGTCAAGCGGTGCTCCACTTTTCTGACCCCTGACCTGGTCATGGTTCACAAGCTAAATTTATTACATTGTTCTGTGAAGTTCATCATTACATGGGCACTGATGGTATTAAACATACATAGTTTGAA